CAACCTGTGGATCAGGACGTGATACAGAATTTTAAGTGTTTCTACAGAGGGTCTTTTGTCCGAAAGCTGGTAAACTCAGACTGCAGTGTTTCTGAATTTCAATCCAAATTCAACCTAAGAACGCTGTGTATGCGGCTGCATTGGCTCGGAAAAACGTAAAGAAGGCTACTCTATGAAAATGTTGGAGGAAACTTTGGCCTAGCATCATGTTTTGTGATGATTCTTCCTATGAAGAGGAATTCTGTGGCTATAATGTTAGGCCTAAGCACATTAGTGACACACAAAAAATAATTGAAAATGTCCCTAAGAAGAATGCTGTTGCAAAGCTCACAGGTAATGAGATTGAACAATGGCTTGATATCGACAAAGACGAACCAGTCATAGAAATTTTGAGTGATGCTGCTATCATTGCAAGTGTTATGAAGACAGAAAAACCTCAAGAAGAAGAGGAGGAAGTGACGGAGGGAGCAAAATATACCTGGCAAGAGGCAACTGATTTTATTTCCAAATTCATTGAATTTGCAGAGTTGCAGCCAATATAATGCAGCTGAAGTAATGAACCTTCATATTATTCTGAATAATTTTTATACCAAGAAGTCACAATCCTCTAAGCAAGCCGATCTCAGGAATATGTTTGCAAGGGCACGGAAGATAGTTCAGCCTTTGTCTTCAACACCACCACGAGAGCCTATTGTTATCAACACCCACATGGAATCAGAGGATGATATTGATAATCCGGATGATAACCCGGATGATGAAGCACGGGTTTCATCAGATGATGAGTAGTTGTGCAGCATGGCAAATAAACAAAATTAGATTTAAGTCAAAAGAGAGGGCAAACCATGGGCCAGAGCAGACAAACAACCACATACAAAGGAATCCAGTGCATCAGGTAAGGGCAGACAAATAAGCAGTGGCAAATTTTTAAAGTGCTTGTACACAAATGCTAGGAGTCTGACTAATAAGATGGGTGAACTGGAGTGCCTCGTATTAAATGAGGAGATTGACATAATAGGCATCACTGAAACCTGGTGGAATGAGGAAAATCTGTGGGACACAATCATACCGGGATATAAAATATATAGAAAGGATAGAGCAGGCCGGGTGGGTGGCGGAGTGGCACTTTATGTGAAAGATAATGTAGAATAAAATGAAATTAAAATAGTAAGTGAATCAATATGTTCCATAGAATCGCTATGGATAGAAATTCCATGCTCCAATAATAAGAAATTAGCAGTAGGGATATATTACCGACCATCTGACCAGGACAGCGATACTGACATAGAAATGCTGAGGGAGAAGGGAGAGGCTACCAAAATAAAGAACTCTATAATAATGGGGGATTTTAATTACCCCCATATTGACTGGATACATGTCACCTCAGGAAGAGAAGCGGAGATAAAATTTCTCAATGGCTTAAATGACTGCTTCTTGGAGCAGCTGGTGCAGGAACCCACAAGGGGAGAGGCAATTCTCGATTTAGTCCTGAGTGGAGTGCAGGATCAGGTCCAGGATATAACCGTTACAGGACCGCTTGGGAATAGTGACCATAATATAATAACATTCAACATTCCTGTGGTGGGAAGAACACCTCAGCAGTCCAGCACCCTGGCATTTAATTTCAAAAAGGGGAATTACACAAAAATGAGGAGGTTTGTTAAACAGAAATTAAAAGGCACAGTGACTAGAGCCAAATCCCTGAAAGCTGCATGGAAACTTTTTAAAGACACCATAATAGAGGCCCAACTTAAATGTATACCCCAAATTAAAAAACATAGCAAGAGACCTAAAAAAGAGTCACCGTGGCTTAACCACCATGTAAAAGAAGCAGTGAGGGACAAAAAGGTATCTTTTAAGAAGTGGAAGTCCAATCCTAGTGAGATAAATAGAAAGGAACATAAACACTGTCAAATCAAGTGTAAACATGTAATAAGAAAAGCAAAAAAAGATTTTGAGGAACAGCTAGCCAAAAACTCAAAAAGAAATAACAAAATGTTTTTTAAGTACATTAGAAGCAGGAAGCCTGCTAAAAAACCTGTGGGTCCCCTAGATGATCGAGCTATAAAAGGAGCAATCAAGGACGATAAAGCCATTGCGGAGAAACTAAATGATTTCTTTGCTTCAGTCTTCACGGCTGAGGACGTTGGGGAGATTCCTGAATCTGCACCGTCCTTTGTGGGTGATGAATCTGAGGAACTGTCCTGGATTGAAGTGTCATTAGAGGAGGTTTTGGAACAAATAGAAAAACTTAATGTTAACAAATCTCCGGGACCAGATGGCATTCATCCTAGGGTTCTAAAAGAACTTAAATGGGAAATTGCTGAGCTATTATCTGTGGTTTGTAACCTATCCTTTAAATCAGCTTCTGTACCTAATGACTGGAAGGTAGCCAACGTGACACCAATATTTAAAAAGGGGCGATCCTGGCAATTACAGACCGGTAAGTCTAACTTCAGTACCGGGCAAATTAGTCGAAACAATAGTAAAGAATAAAATTGTGAAGCATGTAGAAGAACATAATTTGTTGGACAAAAGTCAACATGGTTTCTGTAAAGGGAAATCCTGTCTTACTAATCTATTAGAGTTCTTTGAAGGGGTTAACAAACATGCGGACAAGGGGGATCCAGTAGATATAGTATACTTGGATTTTCAGAAAGCCTTTGACAAGGTCCCTCACCAAAGGCTCTTGTGTAAATTACATGGCCATGGGATAAGAGGGAAGGTCCTTTCTTGGATTGAGAACTGGTTAAAAGACAGGAAACAAAGGGTAGGAATAAATGGTAAATTTTCAGATTGGAGAGGGGTAACTAGTGGTGTACCCCAAGGGTCAGTCCTGGGACCAATCCTTTTCAACTTATTCATAAATGATCTGGAGAAAGGGGTAAGCAGTGAGGTAGTAAAGTTTGCAGATGATACCAAACTGTTTAGGATAGTCAAGACAGAAGCAGACTGTGAGGGACTCCAAGAAGATCTCACCAAACTGAGTGATTGGGCAACAAAATGGCAAATGAAATTTAATGTGGATAAGTGTAAAGTAATGCACATCGGGAAAAATAACCCCAACTATACGTACGGTATGATGGGGGCTAATTTGGCTACGACAAATCAGGAAAGAGATCTTGGCGTTATCGTGGACAGTTCTCTGAAAACTTCCACACAGTGTGTATTGGCGGTCAAAAAGGCAAATAGGATGCTAGGAATTATTAGGAAAGGGTTAGAAAATAAGACCCAGAATATCTTACTGCCCCTGTATAAAACTATGGTACGCCCACATCTTGAATACTGTGTACAGATGTGGTCTCCTCACCTCAAAAAAGATATTTTGGCCTTGGAAAGGGTTCAGAAAAGGGCAACTAAAATGATTAGGGGTTTGGAATGGGTCCCATATGAGGAGAGGTTAAAGTGACTGGGACTTTTCAGTTTAGAAAAGAGGAGACTGAGTGGGGATATGATAGAGGTCTATAAAATCATGAGTGGTGTGGAGAGGGCCGATAAAGTAAAGTTATTTATTAGTTCCCTAAATAGAAGAACTAGAGGACACCAAATGAAATTAATGGGTAGCAGGTTTAAAACTAATAAAAGAAAGTTCTTCTTCACACAGCATGTAGTCAACCTGTGGAACTCCTTGCCAGAGGAGGCTGTGAAGGCTAGGCCTATAATAGAGTTTAAAGAGAAGCTATATAATTTCATGGAGGTTAGGTCCATGAAAGGCTATTAGCCAGGGGATAAAATGGTGTCCTTGGCCTCTGTTTGTCAGAGGCTGGAGAGGGATGGCAGGAGACAAATCGCTTGATCATTGTCTTCGGTCCACCCTCTCTGGGGCACCTGGTGCTGGCCACTGTCGGTAGACAGGATACTGGGCTGGTTGGACCTTTGGTCTGACCCAGTACGGCCGTTCTTATGTTCTTATGTTTAAGTTTGTGGGTTTTTTAGTGTTTAAGTGAATAATTTACAGACTGGATTAGTGTTAAAGTGTATAATTTTGTGTTTAAGTAATAAAGTACTATATTAAGTGTTTTTAGTTATTGTATTAATAGTTTAAGTGATTAGCCAGTGCTGTACACTACTGTACTTAGTATCCTCTGTTTTCTGTATTCAAAGGCTTCACAACAATAATGGTGAATACTGTACTGTACATTTATTCTTTCATTCTATGACTAAATTTATGCATTACAGTATGTACAATAAAAAGGGTAAAAAAGGGTCAAAAAACTAAAACATTACAGTATAATGTATACAGTATGTACAATAAAAGGTTTAAAAACACAATACATATATATATATATAAAACCATTTTATAGTCCGGCATATCCAATAATCTGGCACTACCTAGGTCCCAAAGGTTCCGGATTACTCTCCTCTGGGATTAACTGGACAGTTGATTCTTCTCTCAAATTTGTTGATTTAATCTTTCAGGAAGTTATCTTATAAACTGGGTCACATTTTGGATGATTTTCTTCAAAACCAGTAAGGCTAAATAAATTGCTAGATATTTTATAAACAGCAAGTAGTCCTGTGGCATTTTAGGGATAGGGATACTATATATTTTTTTGTTAATCTCTAAATTGCACAGGACTACTCGTTTTTAAAGTTACAGAAATACGGCTACCCCTCTGAGACTTTTAGATATTTTAGTAAATTCTGCACAAAACATTAGAGATGCTCACGCTCTACAAATAGATCCTTATTTTAAATAATAGTGAACTATGTTGTCTGGGGTCATCTAGAGGGAACTAAGGGTTATCAAATAAAATTAATAGTTGACAGGTTTAAAACAAACAAAAGGAAGTTTTTCTTCATGCAGCGCACAGTTAACCTGTGGAACTCCTTGACAGAGGAGGTTGTGAAGACCAAGACTTTAACAGGGTTCAAAAAAGAAGTAGATAAATTCATGGACATTAGGTCCATCAATGTCTGTTAGCCAGGATGGGTAGGAATGGTATTCCTAGCCTCTCTTTGGCAGAGGCTGGAAATGGATGACAGGAGAGAGATCTCTTGATGATTCTCTGTTCAGTTCAGTCCCTTTGGGGCATCTGGCATTGGCTACTGTTGGAAGACAGAATACTGGGCTAGATGGACCTTTGGTCTGACTCAGTATGACTGTTCTTATGAGTCTTGTGTTCCTGGTAGAGTTATCACTGCCAAACAGTGCTGAGGTGTGGTTCCAGAAGAAGTGCAGTCTAAGCTTCGCAATGGTTAAACATGTATTGGAGGACTTGTCTGTTCTCAGAACCTGTGAAGGCATATGAGGCATTGCAGCAGAATGGAAACTTATGGTTTTCTTAGACTCCCATGCCACCAGGTCAAGGGCTCCTTATTGTCAAGTTTCACAAGATTGCGGTGTGCACACCAGCTCCCATACCTTAAAAGATTTCATGTGTATGTCTCTGTCAAGTATGTATATCTCCTCCACTCCCACAGCAGACATCATCTTTGTATCAAGGGATAGCTGATGACCCATAAGATACTGGATGTTGGGAAATACTCTGTATTGCTTGATGTGTATAATTGTATTGTTTTCTTCTCTCCTTCCCTAAGGTGCATAGACATAAACCTCATAAAGGATCATAGCATTCTTTGAGGTGCTGTTCTCATTTAGAAATGAAGCCACACACACACACACAAAAAAAAGCTGGTGGAGTCATTAAGAAATTCTTAAGGGAAATTCTGTCAGTGGAAGATTGCAACTGCTGCATTGATCACATCCATGAGATACTCCCAATGGTTATTCAGAACAAAACAGGCCTTTGGAATACGGATGTGGGCTGCCAGTATTTTGTGAATGCATTTTGCAATCTCAAGGAAATTCTTTGGCTTTGTCAGTCAATGCTAGCTTGTATGAATGGTGCTAAGGATTTTATCGAAACAAATGATGGTGCTATATACACTTGCCCACTGAGGGAAATAATCATTTTAAATCGCACGGGTTTTCAATACCGGGTTGAAAAATAAATCTCCTATAATACGCTGTAATACATTTTCTATAAATATCCTCATGTGGTGCTCAATACAGACTGCTATGCTGGTGCTGTGGAACTAAACTGGAGCTTCATATGGTTTAACAGCTATGCACATTGCTGAACAGCAACCATTACTCTTACTAGTAAAGTTTCTAAGAAACACAAGCAAAGGACTGAAAGTACATGTACACAATAATAAAGACTTGTGTTGCTTGGATTACTTGTTTATTTGTCTACTGTATACTAAGTATTTCAATAGACAATTTTCTCTGCGGAGTGTGTTTCCCTCTCCCTGTGCCCCCCACCCATCTGCCAAATGTCTTCCCAGGCTACATTAGCTACCTTGTTGCCTTTGTGATGAAATTCATTTCCTTAAGCCATCTGGTGGATTTCATCTGTAATTGCAGTATAAAGGTCCATTGCTGTTACAAACAAGTGGCTTGACATGCCTTGATGAGATGATATTTAAGAAATTAACCTGCGTTCTCAGTTCTAGCTCGAAGAAGAGCTTGTGAAAGAGACAAAAACAATCTTATTAAATGCAATGAAAATGTTTCATGTTTTGACAACAGATTTCTTTACTTTGGAATAGAATCATGCTGTAATTTTTGAATGGCAACAAAAAAAACTCTTCTAAAACTAGGTCTATAACACAAAATAACACTTCTTGGCAAAAAGCATTCAGTTGACAACACATTATAAACATTGACAACATATTATAAAGTTTGCGTATTTGGGCTAGGCTTGATATAGATGTCATCATAAAATGGATGACGGGCATCTTTTTTTTTTTTTTAAGTGGAAGTCTGAAACAATTTCCAAAGGTATCTACAAAGAAGATTAAAGAACAAATAATACTAATAGTCTCTATCCGCATAGCAATATATCTATCTGGCTACTTTTATAGTTCTCAGCCTAGCTGGAACTTGCTCATTTTGAATTATTTCACAATATACAGAAAATAATTCAGTCCCTGCCCCATGGACCTTACATTCTAAGTAACACACTGTAACATTATTATTAATATTATTATAAGTTTGTATTCCTATAGCATTTAGGAGCCCTTGTCATGGACCAGGACCCTATTGTGCTACGCACTGTACAAATACAGAACAAAAGAACAATCCTTGCCCCAAGGAGTTTACATTCTAAGTATAAGACAAGAGGCAACAGATAGATGTAGACAGATGGGAATTATGTTATTGGTCAGCATGATTGGCAGTGGTCTTTCTACATCATCAGCCTGTTGTCATGTTTATTGTGGGCATCATAACAAAAACGTGTTTTGAGAGGGAATTTGAAAATAGATAATGAGGTATGGGTTCTGAATGGGTAGGAGTCATGCAAAACTGAATCTGTCAAGGCCAAAGAAAAGGATGTTTTAGAACCACAATGGCTCAAGCCAATGTGCAGAGAAAAGCAGTGCAAATCTTTTTTTTTTTCTTTCTAAATGTATTTCTTCACTGGTGGAATAAAGTTGCTACGTGACAGCTTATGTTTTAAGAAAGGATTCTAGTAAAGTGATTATGGCATCTAGCAGTGCAATTTGGGAGAACAGACAATGAAAAGGGAATTAGGAAGATTAAGGAGCTGCTCTAGAAGCAGGAAACCTTGCCTCCACTGGACAGGTTCCTAGTGGTAGGAGCATTTCAAAGAGAAAGCAATTGGTTGCAGCAACCTGCTGCCAGACAGTCACTGAGTCTCCAAGCCACTGGGGCTGAGCCTCATAACCGAGCTGCTGGAAGCTCTTTGACCACTCACTCTCACCAGAGGAAGCAGTCTCTGGAGAAAAACTTAGGAGGAAGCCAGGAGCCATCTCAAGACAGAGCTGTAATGCTGATGGAAGTAAAGAAACAAGGGTAGGAAGTAACCCACAGACCATGAGTAAGAGTTCCAATAATGGAACCTTATTGTTTTGAAGGGTCTTAGGTTGGAATTCTATGGAGTAGGATGGGCCAGGGTTCCCTACTCCACTCCTTTGATGGTTGCTGCTGATCCAAGTTGTCTTTGGACTCTTGTCAACGGGCAACACTACCATTAATTTCTGGGGGCCTGGGACTCTCCACTGGGAACACTGCAGTATACTGTAGTCACTAGGCAGAGTAGGCATTGGACTCTTGTAATTAGATAACACAGTTTAGAGTATAGTCATTAGGTGGTAGTGCCAATCTAGGGCATATAGTTAATCCCCAACACTCAGCAATTGCAGTGCTATGGTATCTTCTATTCTGAGCTAAGGGAGATACTACAATTACTGCTGAAGATTCAGCATTTGCTATGAGACTGCTAGTCATGTTTGTGCTACTTAATCATGTTCTTATTTTTATTGGTCTGATCTAGCTCTCCATGTGAAGTCAGTGGGAATTTTACCACTGATTTCAATAGAAGCCAATTTACATCCTTATTTTGTATGGAGGGTAAAGAAAACTGTTTTCCCCATACTAATTTTTTTTTAAAGAAAGCAACACTAGAACATTGTGAAATAAATTATTACCTGCCTTTGGGAAGTGCACCTTGTATTAGACCTCTTGTGAGTGGTACAGATAGAACTCTAAGTTGAGGTTGAGCAGTTCTGGCACTTGCAACATGAGGCAACACAACTATCCCTGAGATAATCCCACAACATAAGTAATAGCTTAATATACATCATGCCATCTGCTCTAAGCTACATGCAAGCTGCTTGCAAAGAAGCCAGTGGGAAGTGCATATAATTATTTATTTATATTTATTTATATAATTATATAATTATCCCCATCTCTGGGGTGTGTGATATAATTTAATTTCACAAAAATGATACAAAAATCAGCTGTCCCCAGAGTAAAATAAATCCCTACCTGTAGATAAAAAACAATCACTGCAAGCACCCAAACCTGTCCTCCCTCATCCTCTACAAACTTCTAGGTGAAAAGATAAGACTTTACAGACTGCTCTATGAGATAACAGATCCATGTTTTGGCAGAGCAAAAAGGGGAGTGAATTCCAAAGCTAAGATACTCTTGTGGAAAATACTCTCCTACAGTTCCCTGCTGTTTTAGCACAGCTGTTCTATCTTAAATACCTTCATTAATCTTAATAGTATGGCACAGGGGACAGAGATGATCTCCCAGGTAACCAGGTACCAAACAATTTAGGGCTTTAAGCTCAGATCCTCAAAGGATTTTAGTGAGAGAGGTAGATGCCTAAATTCCAATTGAGGATCTGGGCTTTAGAGATTAAAATCAACACCTTGAATTCTACTTGGAAATGTATTGGCAGCCACTGCAGATTCTTGAGTATAGGAGTAGGGTTTTCAAAAGAGCCTAAGTGATTTAGAAGTATAAGTCCCACTGAAAGTCAATTTAGTAAGCTGGCTCGCATATTTTTCATTGGCTTTAGTCAGAGTGCAGCCTCACACAAAGCACATGACAGCTGGAAGTGTTGACTGAAATAATGTCTAAAAACATTTAAATATTAGGAGTTGATATTTGATAGTTCTAACATTTTTTCAGGTGTTTTAATGAAAGACAATGCTCTGCTCCATCACAAGAGTGAGACCTTAGTAAAAATGCCAATTTGCATGTTTTGGGTTTAATTGAGGAAATAGCTAAAGGAAAATCTTGCATCCGCAAAAAATGGTGAAAGCTTTTCACATTCATGTATCAAGCAATGAGAAAATGTAGAATTATTTTTCAAATAATGAGGGATGTATTTTTTCTCAGTTACTATCTCAACCACACAAGTAGGAAGGAAAACAGTAATTTCTGTTTACAAACTGATTTTTTTTCTTGAGTTGGTAATGGACAGCTACCTTATTTCATATCAAATTCCACATTATTTCTAATGTGTGCATGTGTCTGTGTTAACTATGATGATACTAGGCAATTTCAAATGAGAGAACTGGGAGAGCATAACAGAGAGGAATTAGTTAACTCATTGTATTCTGATGATGAACTAATGAGGATTTTTATTATCCAGAATTTTAATGTGTTGTTTCACAATCTAATTGTTTGGGGGGTTTCTTTACTTCTATAACTGTTTTATTATGTTTCGAGACAAGATTGTCACTTATGTTACAACCCATGGCTAGAAATGTCATTACTTTTGGATTTAATTGTAAATGCTGTATGATTCTCTGATTGATCATTCCGTCAACTGTTTGGGGATTTGGAATATGTAAATTCCTTGCTCCGCTTTACCGTCTATATATTTAATTGCTTTTATTGAAACACTTATTTTTCCAAGGGGTTTGTGGAAATTAGAGGGGAAGGTTATTGAACTCATTTTATATGAATGATCATTTTCTGTTCAGGCTTTAGCTCCTTCCTTTTTGACCTGTAGCTGTACTGACACTTCTTTTTTGTGTTCATTGCTGAAACTGCTGATGTGTAATGGAACAAAATGACAAAAACTATTTTAGAAGACAAAAAAATATATACACATGAAGGCCAAATTTTGCTCTGTCAGATTCTGGGCAACCAAACAGAATTCCTTATTTGTTCATCAAAAGAAAATGATTTAACCAATTACTCTCTGTTACCTTTTTCCAGTTCTCCCATTCAAGTATGTAGAACTGGTTGTGCATCTCTGCTGATTTTAAGGAGTTGCACAAGGCATAATTAAAAGCAGAATTCTACCATGATTATCATTCAGATATCTGACCCATATAAGCAGCCATCAAAATAATGAGGTAATGAGATGGTTGACAGTACAAAGGACCAGTCCTGCAATCTTCACTCATGCAAGTTGTCCCTATGAACATGAATAATCTGTTGCATTCAGTGGGCCTGCTACTGGGAGAGGATGGTCTTGTCAGAGCAATGGAGTGGGACTCAGAAAGTCTGGATTTGATTATCAGCTATGTCATAGATTTCCTGTGCAGTTTGGGCAAGTAACCATGTCTATGCCTAAGCTCTGCATCTGTGAAGTAGGGTTAATCATCATTCTTTACTTTGCAAGAGCAAGGACCAGTATGAGGAAAATTATTAACATTTGTGAAGTGCTCAGCTACCGTGCTGGTGAGGGCCTATAAGTACTTACACAGACAGGAGTGAGCAAGGGTTAACTGTGGTATGAGTAAGTGTTGCAGGATCAGTCTGGAGCTGCTGAAAAAGAAAGACTCATTACACCACTGAAATAAAAGCAATCATTTTGGAAGGGATACTGGCTGGCAGAATGTAACAATAGTCAGAGCCAAAAGATCCTCCACGCACTGAGATCTCACTGGGGTTCTCAAACTGGAGGTCATGATCCCTTAAGGAATCAGAAAGTGGTTACATGGGGGGTGTAAACTGTCAGTCCGTGGGCTTGACAGCCCTGAGCCCCATTAAATTAAATCCCCCCCCCCATTTTTAATATAAATAAGGTCAGGGCATGCCCATAGCCTTTGTCTGAAAGGGGTCACCAATATAACAAGTATGAAAAACACTTCTCTATAGGAGGACAATCTCCAAGAATTGGCAACGGGAATGCCCACCTGAAAAACAAAAAAACTAATTTCTGGCATAGTGATAGAGATGTAGCCATGTTAGTCTGGTGTAGCTGAAACAAAATACAGGACTATGTAGCACTTTAAAGACTAACAAGATGGTTTATTAGATGATGAGCTTTCGTGGGCCAGACCCACTTCCTCAGATCAAATAGTGAAAGAAAATAGTCACAGCCATATATACCAAAGGATACAATTAAAAAAAATGAACACATATGAAAAGGACAAATCACATTTCAGAACAGAAGGCGAAAGCTCATCATCTGATAAACCATCTTGTTAGTCTTTAAAGTGCTACATAGTCCTGTATTTAATTTCTGGCAGATTGTGTAACAATACTATTCTGCTTCAGGACAGTCATGCTCACAGGATAGTAGGCTCTCCAGGATCTGAGCTGGAGAAAGGTAAAATGACTGTTAGAGAGAATATGAAAGGTTTACTTAGGCTGCCAAGAGAATGAGAAGAAATTTGGTCTCAAGTGGGAAATAGGTTTCAAGCCTTGTCAAGACAGGCTAGAAAAGCTAGGTCTGAATGAAAGAGATATATCCTTAGATACTAGATTGTGAAATATACAAGGAAGTTGCTGGTGTAGTAAGGGAATGACACACAAAAATGGTGGTGAGGGACTGGTCTTTATTGCCTGGTCCCACTAAGGGTACGTCTAAACTACATAGCTCCGTCGACGGAGCCATGTAGATTTGTTTTTTTGGCAAAGGCAAATGAAGCCGCGATTTAAATGATCGCGGCTTCATTTACATTTACATGGATGCTGCGCTGAGCCGACAAACAGCTGATCAGCTGTTTGTCAGCTCGCACGCTAGTCTGGATGTTCCCCCTGTCGACATGAAAGCCCTTTGTCGGCAGCCCCGGTAAACCTCATTCCACGAGGAATAACGGGGCTGCCGACAAAGGGCTTTGATGTCGACAGGGGGAATGTCCAGACTAGCGCGCGAGCCGACAAACAGCTGATCAGCTGTTTGTCGGCTCAGCGCGGCAGCCATGTAAATGTAAATGAAGCCGCGATCATTTAAATCGCGGCTTCATTTGCCTTTGCCTATCTGTCTAATCTATATGCCTCTGCCGACAGAGGCATGTAGTCTAGACACAGCCTAAGATGACAGGAGCCATTATCATCTGACTCCAGTGGCTACATGGTAAAGATACAAAATCCTAAATGCTGTGGCGAAAGTAAATTGCGCACTCCTATTTGCTCTCTTATGGAGCAACTTTGAAATTTCAAGTTTTTGGTGGAAATAGGTTTCAATTTTTTGACCAGCTTAAAAACAGGTATTGTGGCCAAAGAATGACTGGGAGAGTAGGGGATCACTATCTACTGGTAGCTAAACTACACAGCTACTGAGAGAATAAAGCTAGTCCAGTGTTAGGGTATTAGGCTAGGACCGGATTGATTAGGGTTCAATTCCCTGTTCTGTCACAGTTTTCATTAGAGTATGGCTGTATTTCAGCTGGGAGCATGATTCCCCGCACAGGTAAAGAGATATGCCATTCACACAGTGCAAAAGAGCTGGACTCAACTAGCATGAGTACTCCCCTAGCAGAGGCAAGGTTTGCTACCCCCACCTTGGCATAGAGACCATGTTGGTGAAGGGGCTGGGATAGGAAGAGTGGATCAGCCCTTCTAAGTCTCAGCTGATTTATGATCTTTTAGGGCGGGTGTGAGGAACCTAAAGCTCAGGGGCCAGATGAGGCTCCCATCTTGCCTGGGTCTGGTCCCCACAGCTCAGGGCTCCCCCACAGCATTGGGGAGCCCACACTGGCGGACCAGCCTTCTTCCCACCCCCAGGCTCTGGTGTCAAGGGGAATGTGGGAAGTGTCTTTCTGCTTCTCAGTTGGGAGCCACATCCGGGAGGGGTTTCTTTATTTTCTCACTTGTGTGTGGCCCCGACTGATTTTTCTGTGGGTTAGTGGCCCCTAACCCAAAAACGGTTCCCCAGCCCTGCTCTAGGACAGCAAGGCCTCCTGTTTCAAGGGACTGTCTGTGTCTCTACAGCCAAGACTCCTGCAGGCGCCTGCTCAGTCTTTGCCTAGGCCTTGCCCTCCTTCCAACCCGGCACTGAAGGATTGAGGGAGGGGGATGGCCAGGCAGGGAGGAAGGGAGGTGAGCAAGAGAAGAGTCCCAGCTGTGCGTCCCTTGCCAAACCAGCAGAAATGGCTTCTCTTCCTTCTCTTTGGGGACAGAGATGCTGATGGTAACAAAGAATGGCTGGGATGGAAGAGGCTGGGGATGGGCCACAGAGCAGGGTGACGGTGGAAATAGGGCCAGGGTGGGTGTGACCATAGGCAAGCCTGTACTCAAATCCTACAGGCTACTGCAATAATATCTGTACAAAATACGGTTTTAGGAGGTATCATATGAATACTAACACCACACTGGTAATGCATGCACTAATGGTATATGTGAAGGTCTGAATTTCCTCTGTATGATGTTACTAGGACATGTTTTAAACAGGCAGCTTACCTTAGGTAGAGGTGATAAATGGACTATCCTAGACAAAGGAATGTGGGTTTACTTATATTTACTTACTCACAGTAAACAAAACCATTGAGCTAAACTGATGAGGTTTATCCCAATCCTGAATGCAAGGACAGAGAATTAACCTGGGACCTGTGCCCCAGAGAGACAAGACACTAAATCCTGAAGGGGTCTTTTTGTCTTGTAAGACAAAAATATCCCTTTGGGGATATAAGGCACAGAGAGAGACATGATCTTTTTCTCCTGATCTCTGTGATGGTCCTGGCTGGGCTGGCTATTAATAGGCTAGAGAGGAGACTCACAGTAAGAGAAGCCATCGTGAGCAAAGGCTGTATCTTCGTAGAGCGGGTTTTTTAGACCTTTCGATACATGTTTTCACTTGTATTTGTTTGTAGCCATTTGTACCTTTTATCTCTTTTATTGGGTATCATTCAATCCTCGTTCTTTGGTTGTTTTGTTTTCATTAGAAATCAACAGGTCTGTGTTCGGTCAGTAAAGTGTGTGCTTTTAGCAAGCTAACCGTATTTTGTGAGTAGTGTTTTACAGCTCCTATAAAAGCACCAGTCCTACACTTTCCTTTGGAGGGTCCAATGAGAGGAATTAATCCAGGGCTGGGCAAGATATGGCCTGGGGGCCAGATCCGACCCTCCTTACACTTTGATCTGGCCCAGGGGCTGCATCTGGCTGCTTTATATTTATATCTTCTTTCCTGTGACACCAAATTTCCAGGTGGTGGCTTAGGCAGCAGGATCCTATTTAAATGGCTCCCAACTCCTGGTCGTAGCGCTACCACGGCAGGGGCCAAAGCTGCAATCCCTTTAAATAGCCGCAGCAACCCCAGGCATCTGCCAGATAACATGGCAGCAGAGGGGCCAGGAGCCACAAACCCTTTGCTGTGTTTCTAATTCAAAGCCTCCAGCCCCTGGCAATTCTGGGGGAAGGCTAGTCCCCAGCCCCGCCCCTTCGGGTGGGTGTAGCCAGCCCATGACCATGTACCAAAATTAATTATGTGGCCCCCCTGCAAAAATTATTGCCCACTCCAGATTAGTCCCTGCAATAGGATGAATTTGGGGCCAGAAGGGTACTGAGATCCTCTTGTAACAAGTAACAAGGTTGGACTAAGTCAGGGTGAGGCTTGTGAGCTGCTGGTAGGATGTTGGGGTCAGAGCTCTGCAGCTACAAGACACCCAGAGTTACAAGGCAGACAGTGACCAAACTCTGGATGAACCCCAAATATCCCAGTGGGCAGACAGATGGGGGGTGGCAGAAGCAGAGGAGAGATGGGAACAGTGCAGCTAGGCATTTTAGCATTCAGGGCCAGCAAGAGTATTTGTGTTCCCTGCGGCTCTGTCTACACAGCAGCGTTATTTCAGAATAACTGACGTTATTCCAAAATAACAAAGAGCATGTCTACACTACAAGCCACTATTTCAAAATAATGGTGAGCTGGAGGACTTCTTACTCCAACTCCTCTAACCCTCATTTTATGAGTAAGAGGGAGGTAAAGGAAGAGTGTTCTTCTTTCGACTTCCTACTGTGTAGACAGCGCCAAAAGCCAAATTAAGTGATTTTGACTTGAGCTATGCCATTGGCATGGCACAAATTGCGTAGCTTACTTTGACTTTCCCCCTGTTGTGTACATGTACCAGAGCCCTGCATGGGAATATTTTTTTAATCCCATTCCCATCCTGCCCCACTGCCACCCGCTCCCACATTGTTGATTTTTTAACAATGGGTTCTGTAGACCCAGGGGATCCCAGTCCTTCTGCAGGCCTCTGCCATCTACCTTGTTTTCTGCCTTCACAGCCCCCTTTTGGCTTTACTCCCTGGGCAGCTGCCCTGCTTGTCCGCCACTGGTTAAGGCTCTGGAGTTTGTGAGGCATAGGCTGAGAGGGATAGTAAAATCTGTTTGGATTTGGGACACTGCTAAAGCAGTCAGTGGTGCTGTAGACCCTCGTCTTTCTATGCCATTATGTGATGATAAAGAGGTGGCACTGAGTGCATGCATAAAGAAATGGATGCACCATAACATAACGAAATTCCATAACATAATTTTTGCATATTTTGCTGCAAACTCAAAAAAGGTCAATTTTCTGGGAAAAATGCCACTGAAATCCAAACATTCTTGTTGAGAGAAAACCACGGAATCATAGAAATATAATGCTGGAATGGACCTGGAGAGGTCATCTACTCCATTCCCCCAAACTGAAGCAGGACTGAGTGTACCTCTACTATCCCTGGCAGGTGTTTCTCTAACCTTGTCCTTAAAAATGGTTCATTTTGAATGAAAATCATAGAACACTAGAACTGGGAGAGACCTCGAGAGGTCATCAAGTCCAGTCCCCTGCCCTCATGGTGGGACCATACACTGTCTAGATCAGGGGTGGGAAAATTCCAGCCTGTGGGCCAAATCCAGACCCTGGTAGGGCCCTGCCTCTATATTTACCTCCTCACCTATTGGGCAATTGCATTTCTCACTGACTCAATGGGACAGGGCAGCCCACAGACATACTGGGGCTCTGCCCAAAGAGGGGG